GTGTCACGAGGTTCCTGTCATTTGAGGCTATTGAGGTGGTGCTTTGGGGCTTCTCCACCGCCCACCTTTCTGTGGTCCTCAGAATTCTAGATAGTCTTCTTGACTTGGCTGGGTTTCCCCATTTTCCCGTAAAGACATTATCTAGACAACATTTGCTGCCTGTCATTCAATACCGAGGTTCTCTGGTGGGACTCGGCTCAGCCCGTGTCTCCGTGCCAAGGTAACCGTGGGTGGAGAGAGATGCCAGGCTTTGAAATGATTGAGCTGCAGTGTGCTCGCTGCTGGAAGAGAATTGGGTGTTCTTGTTCTAATTGGCTTTATTTTCTGTCCTTGCTCGGGTGGATTTTCAGGACAGTGACATAAGTTGATCTCGGCGCGTTCTGCTTTGTTGTCGACACTTACTTGGGCCAGACGGCAGCTGCAGGAGCCCCCTCAATCCCACATGTCTGTGCACGGCTCTGGCAGGGACTCGCTCCCTGTTCAGCAGGAAAGGGGCTTCTTCAGAGGCTGGTTGTGCCACCACACAGGCCCCTCTCAGTAGCTCAAATCTAAGCATTCAGCCCTTTGAGTTAAGACACTAGGTTAATAGGCATTTGCAAACGAAGAAGACGTTAGTAGGTCAAACTGTCTGCATTGGCCCCGGCTCTCTGAGGGCCAGGTCTTGGTTAAGATCATTGTGGAGGAAGGAGGATGGGTTGGATGTACACTGTGTGGGAGCAGGAAAGGGAGGGAGGCTGAGGACAGGGGAGCACTTTGTGAGCTCGGGTGGAACGAGGCTTGCGGTAGGGAAATGAATGGACTCTGAAGATGAATGTCTGTTTCATGGTTTTTCCTGGAACTGACCCAAACTGTACTTAAATTACATGTGTGTGTTGAATAAAATAGATCGGAATGTCAGTCTTGCTTGGAATTTACATTTGTATTGAAGAATTAGAATTTTGCTAAAAAGAAGAAATGAGAGAAAAGTGCCGTGTGTCCCCTGCATTGGTGGCCCCTTGAGAAGACGGTTGCACACGTGTCACAGTTTTGCAGCTCCTCACCGCAGTCTCATGGCTGTGCTGCCCCCTACTGGATGAGAAGCAGAGGCGTGGTTAAAGGCAGGGGCACATCTGTAGATGCGGTGACTGGACCACTGCCTGCCCCATGAGTCTCTGACATAATCTCAAACCCTTCGGTTCTTGAGGGGCCCCAAGGTCAACCCACGGGCAGACACCCTTCTGAGAATCCCAGGTCTGTGTGGACCCCTTTTCTCCAGAAAAATGCCCAAACATATAATTTTCATATAAAATATCTGGGGTAATGGTAGATATCTTAAGGAGTTTCCATACGGCCCAGAATAAGAACCCTTGTTCTGGGGCACAGGTCACTGCCAAGCTACCAAGGAGTCGTCTCCAAACCCCAGCCCACCATGTGGCTTTTTGCTGCTCATCAGATCTCTTTGTCCTTGCCCAAATTTGCTCCAGGCATGATGACTCACTAGATTTTTGTAGCCCTGAGGTGTTCACGTGGTAGAAATATTGAGTCATAATTTTTGTTTTTATTAAGAACCTCATTATTCCAAAGACTGCTTCTCTTTCAAACACATTTTAATTCCATTTTAATCTTCAAGTTGGCGTACATTTTTATGGCTGGGCTGGCTGATTTGCAGAGATCCCTGGGGGATGGGGCATTTAAAGATTCTTCCTGCTCAAGTCTTATGAACTTTCTCAGCATTATAAAGCCATTTCTCATGTTCAGTTTTCTTCTGAGATGGAGAAACACTGTTCTGCCACCTCGAGACAGTTGTCATTGCTTTACGAGCAGAGATCCATGGGGGCCAGAGGTGGGGGCCATGCAGGGCCAGAACTCGGCGAGGGAGCGTGAGAACGTGGATGGGCACGAGGCCGGAATGGGGAACAGACGTAGAGCCAGTGACCATTAGCACTGTTTTGGATTTTACATCAGAGCAGCAGCATCCACACGCCCTGATCCCAAGAGGGAAGAACCCGTTCTACCTTTAAAACTCCATCAAAGCCCAGCTCTGCAAACTCTGCAGCCCCTGCTCTCGGGAGCTTTGTGGATGTCGTTGTATTTGTATTTACGTTGCCAATGTTGATGCCTTTCCAACTGAGTTGGCCTGTGGAATAGTCCTTCTGTTCTATCCACACTATTCACGCGCTGCCTGCATTTTGGACGAAAACAGAGAGCGGTCTCACCTTTCTGCAGGTGGACTGAGTTCGGTGTGGGTGGATCGCAGGTTTTCTGGAAGAAGGCCACTAACACTGTGCTGAATGAAACCAGCACTTTTTTTTTTTTAAAGCCCTTGATTATTTACTTGAGGCTGCATAGGAGGATTTTTGGAAACTGTCCTGTAAAGGAAAGGACAAGCTCTCAGAAGCTGCGGCAGACAGAAACATCGCTGGCTGCTTCTTTAAGCTTCGAGCACAGTTTGCTGAGGATCTGAGCAGAGGCAGACATGTGTCGGGCTCCCTGTGGCCTATCTTCCCTTGGCAGAACCTCAGGGCCCCGGGGGCTCCTGCCACAAATCACCTGAAGTGAGTCAGCTTCCGGGGCCGGGTACTGACCTTAATTCTCTCTGCTGGAGCCAGTGTCTGAGAGTCAGCAGCAGACACAGAGGGCGTGTAATGCTGGTGTCAGTGGGCAGAGCTGGAGAGCTTCCTGTGCACAGTGATGTGTGTTCTTAGTATCGCATGGCAGGATCTTGCTGAAGGCTTCCCGGTTCCTGGAACAGGGACAGGCTGGGTTTAATTTCCAAGTAAGGCAGACAGCAGGAGGGAGAGGTGGTCCCAGGTAGTCTGGAAGCTCGTAGCATCGAGTGCCAGTGAGTGGGCAGAATGGTGATGTCCCTGTGTACGGCTTGTGCGCAAAGGGGAAATCACATTGCAGAACGAAGAATCATTCTTGGCTTCATAAGCTTAGGGTTGCCTCATCTGAGCTATTGATGTATTTACTTTACAAGCAGTACTCTGTGAGAACAACTAATTTCAAACAGGGATAATTGCTCTCAAAATGTAGCTGCCTTTGTCGTGGTGATGTTTAAGGACTGCACACCACCCCTAGCCCCTTGGGTGCATTGTAGTGCCTTGATTTGCTTTTTGTTTTTGTTTTAATCCTCACCCGAGGATATTTTTCCATTTATCTTTAGACAGAGTAGGCGGGAGGCAGAAGAGGGAGAGAGAGAGAAACATCAATGTGTCACATCCACTGGTTGCCCCCGGCACCACCCGGACCAGGGCTGGGGACGAACTGCAACCGAGGTACGTGCCCTTGGCTGGAATCGAACCCGGGTCTCATTGGTTCACAGGCCAATACTCTAACCGCTGAGCCAAACCGGCCAGGGCTTAATTTGTTTTTGATTGTCCGTTTTCCTCCCAAAGCGTGATGCTTGGGCATCACCCCTTCCTCCCCCAGCTGCCCCGGTTGAGGGGAGGTCACCACAAAGTAGTAGCAGCAGCAGCAGCACCTTTGCCACTGAAGGGATGTGTCTGAGTTCCCTGACTTCCTGGCACGGAATCAGGGCGCCCAGAGCTCCCAGACATCTCTCCAGTTAGTCTTCTCTGAACCAGGTTGGAGGCCAGTGACCTCAGTTACTCCAGTCTATTCTCGCAAAGGCACTTGCCCATGATGTCAGCTGGCACACGTTGCGATGGAGCCGGAGAACCAGGCATGCCATGGCGGAAACCCAGCTCTTAGCTGGGGAAAGCCCCGTGGGCATCCCTGGGGCTTCCCCACTGTCTGCCCAGAATTGGGGTTCCTCAGAGAAGACTTGAGAATAATTTGAGAAGTGTGTCTATTGAAAATGTCTATTTGATTTCAAAATTTAAAAACGCCTACCCCGGGGTGGGGGGAGGACTCTGTTTCCCCTCTGGAGCGCTGGTAAGGAATGGCTGGCACGTGTCTGTTAGGCCAGGCGACGTCAGCCACCTCCATCACTGAGATACGTTGCATACTGGAAGTGCCTTCCAATAAAACGAGAGAATTCTGTCCAGTGAGGTTTGTAAATCATTCGTTTTTGCATAGACATTTGGGCAAGTCTGTATCCTTTTATATTTAATACCTTTGAGCTCCTGCACTGCCGTATATTGAGTTCACCATGTCTGATCTGTCATCCATAACTGGAAACAATCGTGTGTGTTGCGCAGTGTTTTTGCTTCGGTATAAACAAATTCCTAAGAACATAAATGTGGAGTGGTTTCTTTTTCTAACAGAATTCTGCGGACAGTGTTACACAGTAGCCAGAGTTCTTGATTCTCAGGTTTTGAACATTTTGTGCTCACTCAGTCCCTTTGCACATTTTATTTGTTAACTTGCCAGGTTATTATTTTTTTTTTTTTTATGTCATTGGAAAAATGAAACCAAGCAATTTAATGAATAAACTTGTATCGAGGACAGCTGGGTCTGTTGGCCAGCATGTATCTGAGCATTCTTACCAAGTGTCAAAGTTTTTCTTTACATTCTCATTTTTGCCTCCCTCCCTACACTAATGCCAACTCACTTTCTGCGCTTGCTCTGGTGATATTGATGTGAAACAGTCAAAACAGTCTTAGAGTGAATGTTTCCGTAAATAGGTAATTTCGGTCAGTCCCTGGGGTATCAGACATTTACCTAAAAATAAAAGTTTTTATTAGATATAAAGGGCCCTGGGTTGTGCAAGTTAATCGGAGAATATTGTTTGGGAATAGTCCAGATTAAGGGGTTCGTTCCTGCATGTTATAGTTTGTTAAAGGGCAGGAAACTGTCTTGACTGGGAAAGTCCTTCGGCCAGAATGCTCGTTACTAGGAGGTGATGGGAGGGTCAGAGGCCATGTGCAGTAGGTCAGGATGGCCTGCCCCCCAAAAAGGGTCACCCTCCACCCTATGGCCTGTAGGACTGGTTTATAGAGAAACTCTTCCTGGGGGCAGAATTAGGCTCCCCCAGTCCTTGCTAAGCATATGGGTGTGTGCACTGTGCTTCTAACTTCTGGACCAGCTGGTGATTTATATTAACAATCTTGTTTTAGACAAACTCGGGCCCTGAGTTGGTTTTGTCCGAAGATGAAAAAAGCGACACCGAAGATAAGGAAGAGGCAGAATTGGGTGTCATGGAGGATCAGCGCAGTGTAATTCTTCATCTCATTTCACAGCTCAAACTTGGCATGGATCTGACCAAGGTACGTTGGCACGTCCCAGTGGGTTTGTGGCTGGTCGATCGGGTGCCGCGTGCACCTCTCGGTCTTCCCAGCTCGCGTTGTTTTCCTCGTGGCGAGACGGGAAAGCAGGGTTGGGAAGAGCCCAGAAGGGCAGTGAAGTGTGGACATTCCAGGTCATCGGAAAGGAGCTGTCCGCCCCTCCTCGGGCCGGAGGCTTGCGTTCGATCCCCTGCAGGAGCTGAGACTCGACGAGGGCAGGGAGAGTGTCAGAAAAAAGCACCCGAGATGATGAGGAAAATTCAGGCCAGGACATTTCTTTTCCTGCTGTGCCCTAGAGAAGGTTGCAGATGGCCCGTAGACACCGCGGAGGCACAGTGGCCACAGAGAAAGCGGGGAGGGAGCGCGTGAGTGGGAGTGAGGCCACTGTGCACACCTTGGCGTGACCGGCCACTGTGCACACCTTGGCGTGACCGCCGCTGCTGTCACCAGCTTTCACACCAGTCTGCGAAAGGCCACCTCGCTGGTGATCCAGGTCTCATTGTCCATGTGTAAAGAAACAAACCCTGTGGTTGGTACACGTGCAACTCAGTCTCCCTGGTGCTGCGCTCAGCCAGGATCCTCCCCGAGAACCTCCCGCGGCGTCCCAGCCACTGGCGGCACGTCCCTGGGCCCATGTAGACCTCCCTCCCCGCTTCACCTCGGAGCAGGAAGAGCTGTTGTATGAGCTGAACGCTGGGGTGTCGGGGCTTTGCGGGTGGGGGCGATGCCCACCTGCGTTCCATTTCCAGGCCCGATGCCTCCCTGGAAGGGCAGCGTGAGAACCGGAGGTCGCGTGTGCAGACCGTGGCAGGTGCGCCGTCCTCCTCACCCTGGGAGGTGCTGTGGCCTGTGGTGGACGGTGTGTGTTGTAGAGGAGCAGCTGCTGGGGCCAGAGACATGACCCGTGGGGAGGATGAGCTGTGAGCGGAAGTTCTAGATTCCGAAGGTCAGCCAGAAAAATGGGGGTGTCCTGGAAATGGCCAGGGCGCTGGAGGCGCAGCCTGTGGGAGCCGCCCCGAGGGTTGTTGCCTGTCTGGCTGCATTGCCCAAGTTCTCTGGTCTGGATTCCTCCCAGGTCGCCCGGACTGGCCTGGGGGCCAGAGAAGAGAGAGGGAAAGGAGGCGGAGGTGTGTGAGGGATTCTTTGTCCAGGAAGATGACGACGTGGTGACTGACCACTCGTAGGAGACAGAGGAGTCAGGAGCCTCGAGGGTGACGGAAAAGCCCTCTGTTTGGAATGTGCTTTGTGTGCGGGAATCTGAGTGTGTCATGCTCCGGGAGACGGCGCCACTGTAAACACAGCAGTGGCCCGAGCCGAGCAGGGAGCAGGCCTGCCCAGAAGGCCCCTAACTGTGCCGTTCCCCACTGTGTGCCCCAGCTCCGCACGCAGGCCGTGGACTCCTGCCCTGCACTGTGCTGCCTTCTCTTCCTCCCAGTCCTGGGGCTGCCCGAGTCGCATGTCCTTTTGCTAGAGGGACCGTGTGCAGTGCTTGCCTTTGCAAAAGCCACCTCTTTTTTAGCCTTGCGGATTGTGTAGACAGTTCAGATGCAGCTCCAGTTAAGATCCCGAGGATGGACCGTGGGTACTAGTAGAACCTAAAATCACATTTCTAAACTGTGGGTCACGCCCCAGTTAGTAGGTTGTAAAACCAATTTAGTGGGTCAGATGATCCCTTCTGAAAATTGAAGTAAAATACAATAGAAAATACCAGAGTGTGTTTATTGCACGTGAAATTGTTACACGTGTACTATTTTATTGATACATGTGTCCTGGGTCACAATGTAAAATGAATTCTCATGCATCATATTAAAAAATATTTGTCAAACATTCGTGTGGACTCATGAATGATACAGGAGAGAGAGCCTCAGAGTAACTGAAATTGTCCAGGTCAGATGTGGAGACAGACGGACATACTGATGCGCTGTGTTAAGGCAGGTGGACTGCCTCAGAGACATCGCCTTCTGGCTTTCTTGTTCTAAAATAAGGAAATCAGAGCGGTGCATCTCACTCTTTTGTTAGGATCTGATTGCTTTGCATTTCCGGAGCCGAGGTCAGTTCCTGAAAGAGCAAAGGGTGGGTCTCTTTCAACACTCATTTGGCCACGAGAAAGAAAAACGGCTCTGGTCTGTAGTTCATTAACTTATTTACCGGAAAGAAACTGCTATTTAAAAACCAAGGGAGTGTTTGAGAGGCTGAGATACTTGTGAGAGAAGAGGTGAACCTTTTATTGTCGAACAGGGTTTGGGGGCTTTTGTCACCCTGCATCATAGAGGGTCAGTGAAGTCCTGTCTTTCCTTATCGTCTTCCTTTCTCTCCTTGGCTCTAGCCCAGGTCATTAAGTTCAGCGTGTGCTAAATCAGCAGTTGAAGACCTTAGCCTGAGTGGAGTGTCTGGTGAGCAGGCCCCCTAGAGACAGAACATCCCTTGATGCACGGATGAAGCTCGGGTGTCTGTGAAATAGGTGTGCTGCCCATCTTTGAGGAGGTGGCCAGTACTGATGCCTCCACAAGTCACCAGTCCAGCTGGGTACCTGGGGCTGCATTTTGTCTCAGTTAATTAACTGTGGCCAGCAGACAGGACAGTTTCATGGGCATGTCACCCAGCACCCCATGCTCAGAAGCAGGCCGTGCTTGGTTTAACGTTCTGCTGTCTCTGGCTTGAAATTTTCAATCATTTTCAGCAAAAGATCTTGCATTTTCATTTTTCACTGGGCCCCACCAAGTGTGTAGCTGGCCTGCCCCCAGAGGCACCCTTGTCTGCCCTCCCTTCTCAGCTGTGGTTCCAAGTTGCTGGTGAAAACCTCCGCTGGGTCACCTGGTCCATTTGCACAAATTGTGGGCAGCCTGGGGAGGAAAAGGAGAGAGAGAGGAGGAACCCCAGAGAGCTGGAGGGCCACAAAAGGGCTCTTTGAGGAAGGGGCATCTAGGTTGGGCATTAGCGGGAAGAATGGGAGGAAGGGCATTCCTGGCAGAGGGAACAGTATGGGCAGAGCCAGAGAGGGGAAGTCGTGGTGGCTGCGTGGAGCGTGTGCTGCTGAGTGGCACGGTTGAACCCAGAGTGGGTGCAGGGGTCGGATCTGCATTTGATCTGGGGCGGGGGATGGGAAGCATTTGGAGGGCTTGAAGCAGGTGAGAGCCATGATGTGGTGTTCAGGAGACGTATCTCTCTTTAGGTAGTAAGGATCTTCTTGGAAAAAGCAGAATTTTATTTCAAACTCTTTCCGTCTAACAAAAATGGTAATAGATGTCTTTTGTGATGTTCTCAGCACGAGGAGATGGGTGTGAAGGGAGCTGGCACTCGAAGGACACCCCGGGCAGCCACCTGTCAGCGAAGTAAAGAAACCTTTGGCCGTGTGAATTGTCTGCCCTTTATTTTGTGTATTTACCCTGGTTTCTCTAAAGGATTGCACAGATCAGTCTCCGTGGGTGATCTTGGCCTCTCTTCGTTTCCTTATTTGTACTGGGTAGTTTTGCCGCCTAAGGACAGCATTGTATTATGTAGATAAGCCTCAAGGTTATTAAGTTAACGGATGTTTCTTTGGAAAAAGCTGCCCCTGCTCTGGGCCTCCTTGGCAGGGGCCTGTGGTGTTCCCTGATGCAGGGACGGCACTGGCCCCCTTTCTGGGAGCCCTCTGACATTCCTGATGGGCCATCGATTCCTTCCAAGCTCTAAGGCCCCTCCTGAAGATGTTATTTACGTCTGGATTGATGCAGCTGTGAATGCAATTGATTGTTCTCCGAGTCCCAAGTACAGATCTGCTCTTCTCCCTTTCCCCAAAGTAGTTCGTTGTCTTAATTATGTTAATGGGAGAAAAGGCAGCCCTTATTGATGGCTCCATAAATCTGCAGCAGTGATTCTAGCCATTTGGATGCCATCATCTGTACAGCGGGGCCATCACTTACCTCTCCGTGGGAGGCAGACAGCCCAATTAGCACTCACCAGTTCCTGGCTCCGTCTCGCTGGTGTCCACCACACAAGAAACAGATGATTAAGTGACTTATTTACAAAGGCACCAAAAAAAAAGGCAGGCAGATCATAGGAGAAGTAGGATCTGCTTCAGTGAAAAGTGTGATCTCTTACTCAGCGTGTTCAAGGTGCTGGTTTCGAAAGGCATCTGCCTGGTGCTCTGCACAAATACCGACCAAACATACCAAGAGGAGATGAGAGGGGGAGTAGTCATCCATCTCTCCAGGGAGTCTGCTTTTCCCGTCTCAGACAAAGCCACCGCACCACTGCCAATGTTAATAGATGTGCAGAACACAGGCTAGTGGGGTGGGCTTGGCGTGGGATGAGACCATACTCCCCGAGTCTCTAATCTCGGGAGGGTTGTCTTGGAAAATTGGTAAGTTCTCAGGTATTGCCTCTCTGGTAGAGCCTTTTTTCTTTTTCCTCTAACTTTTTATTTTGCACATTTTTCTAATCTACGGCAGAGTTGCAAGAACAGTACCATGAACAACCGTAAATCGCTTTTATTGTCCAGTTAACATTTTGCCACCTTGCATATCTTCTCCCTTCTTTCCTCCCTCCTTCTCCACTGCCTCTTTCCATTTTCCTCCCTCTCCCTCTCTCCCTCTGCAACCCCACATACACACGAGCATATCTAGGTAAATGTTCACTTGTGATGAACCCTTTTGGAGTTAGTTGTGGTGAATGTCTCCGAACACCAGGACATTCCTCTTACACAAGCACGTCACACTTGGGAAATTTGACATGGATGCGATACTGTTTCGTATCCGACCCATGGCAGAGGTTCCCACCTTGCCCCCTCTCCTCCTGGCCTTGACGAGAGCAGAGAGCGTCGCGGGGGCTGTGAGGGAGGTAAGTGTGGGATGCAGCGACGGTACGGAGGAGGAGGGTGATGGGTTAGTCTTGGGAGCAGGAGCTGTTGGAAAAGCTTCGTAGAGGAGATCGCCCTCGAGCTGAGCCACTGTGCATCATGTAGACAAGCAGGAGGGAGGGCGGCAAAGGGAAACAGGAGCAAATGTGTGTCGGGCGGGGGCTTGTGAGGGGAGAGCTGGGGGCCGAAAGCGAGTCGTCCTGTGAGACGAGTCATCATGTGGGGGTCAGACTCAGCTTTACCCCTTGTGGAGGTTTGAGAAAGAAGGATCTGGCTGGGGCGTGGAGAAGTGAGGGGGGGCGTGACGGGAAGCTGGGAGGCCAGTCAGGCAGCGACAGCCGCACCTTTCCAGAGGGGTCGCCATGCATGTCCTTTCTGTCTTTTTATTAAACAAAAGACTATTTTTCAATGACTGTTGCATGCATTATTATGTTGTATTAGTTCCAGGTGTGCAGCATAATGGTTAGACAATCATATACTTTACACAGTGTTCCCCTGATACTGCCAGTCCCCACGACACGGTCATAGTTATTGCAGTACCGTGCACTGTATTCCCTGTGCCGTATGTGGCATCCCGTGACTGTTCTGTGGCCACCAATTTGTACTTCTTAATCCCCTCACCTTTTTCCCCAACCTTCCTGTCCTCTGGCAAACATCAATCAGTTTTCTGTGTCTCAGTCTGTTTCAGTTTTGTGTGTCCATTTATTCTGTTCTTTAGATTCTATGTATAATTGATACCATCGGTATTTGTCTCTCTCTGACTTGCTTCACTTAGCCTAATATCCTCTAGGTCATCCGCGCTGTTGCAAATGGTCAGATTCCCTTCGGGTTACGGCCGAGTACAGTCCACTGTGTAAATAGACCACAGCCTTTTGTCCAGTCGTTTACTGGTGGGCACTTGGTCGCTTCCAGATCTTGGCTGTGGTCAGTTATGCTGCAGTGAACAGAGCAGGTGCGTGTGTTCTTTCAGGTTAGTGTTTCGGGTTTCTTCAGATACATTCCCAGAAGTGGACTCGCTGGGTCATAAGGCAGTTCCATTTTTAATTTTTTGAGGAAGCTCCGTACTGTTTTCCTTGGTGGCCATGCATGTCCTTTCTTAACTCCCAAGGTCTCCTTCCCATCTAGAAAGTCAGTGGCAGTGTGTGGACTGGTGGATTGTCTGGTGATTCCAGGAAGAGTAGCGTGGCCCAGAAGGTGGGGCTCATGTCCCACCCTTCCCCTCTGCTACTTCCTGCCCCCCAATTATTTAGTAAGCAGTGACAGTAGTAGAAGACCAGGACTTGCCAGTTCTCATGTCTGGTGAAGTCTTCTCTCCCCAGTCCTCCGAGGGAAAGAGAGTGTTCTCGTTAGCCGAAGGCGGTAACCATGGTGTGCCGTGGAAAGAGCTCAGGGGACAGTGGGAGCCCTGTGGTCCCCTGCCTGCCCTGTGCGTGGGCATGGTGCCTCTCCTCCCCTCCCCCGCAGTCTGCCCCCTCCCCTGTGGGGACAGGTGTTGCATTCCATCACCTTGAAGGTCCCTTTTTGGTCTGATGCTCGGTGATTCGGGGTTTTCAGTGGATTCTTTTTCCTATTTATTTTGTTTCACTACATCCACTTCTGAGTTCAGGGACGCTGACTAAGGGAAAATGCTATCAGTTCTTGCCCTTTTCAAAAGTACATAAGGAGTGCATGTTGTAGCCGATTCTTTCCTTGTAATTTCAACCTCAGGTACATACATGAGAATTCTCGTCCAGAGGGGAGTCGTTTCCAGGGCAGCCGTGGCCGCCAGGGGGGAAGAGGGGTGTGCAGGTCTCCTCCACGTGGAGCTCTGCGTGTCAGCGGCCGCCCTCACGGTCACCCTGCCTGCTCCCCCGCCGCCCCCCGCTTGCCTCCTGATCACAGGCTCCCCGGCCCCAGGAGGGAGACAGAGCAGGAAATGGAGTGACTTGGGGATAGTCTGGCCATGTGGACATTTGTGGCTTCTTTTTCTTTTTAATTGACTTAGCCTCCTTGAGGGGGTTTCCCAGGCTATGTAAGTCCAGGGTCCCTCACCGGCACAGCCTGTCGGGGAGTTCCCAGGGGAAACCTTAAGTGGCCCTGGGGGCAGGAGAAGGAGAGACGGTGAGTGTTTGGGGTTCTGTCGCCTCTCTGCCACCAGCCACCTGCATGGGGGAGGCCGGGGAGCAGCCGCCTGGAAGAGCAGACCCCGGAGAGCAGAGCGAGGGCCTGTCCCACAGAGAGACACAGGAAGTAGTAACAGTGGCATCTGAAGGCCGTCCTGAGGCAGGATGTCCTCTTCCTGGCCAGCTCAGATCCTTGAGCAGCTTCTCATTTTGTCAAATTGTGGCAGAAAGAAAATTAGGGAATCCCCTTTAATTTGCATGGTTGTATTTTAAATAATGTCTCTTCTTTCAGTACGTTCATATACAGCAAAGCAGAAAGATACTCAGAAAAAATATAAAAATTTTACTCAGTTCTATCATCAAGACAGATAGGTCTTTTTATGATACTTGGATCGCGTTACGTGTTCAATTTTACATCTGGCTGCTTTTTTACTTAGCACAGGTACATTTTCCTCTGACACCGTTTTTAAATGAAAGACAGAAGAACATTAAAAAGGATAGCAATCTCCTCTCTCCAGCGCGCTGGGCTTCCTCCGGTTTCCTCTGAAATTGTTGTGCTTTGCTGATGTCGTGTCTGTCTGTCTGTCTCTCTCAGGACAGCTGTCTTCCATTGCAGCTCTGTGCTTGGCAAGGAAGGGTCTTAGCACGCTGAAGTGGAGGCAGGGTCAATGGAGAGCTGTGAGCCGTGGTGCTCACCGTCAGGGAGTGCCCCTTGCCTTGCAAATGTTCTCACGGGAGTCAGGGACTGTGCGAAGGAGGCAACGTCAACCAGCTGCACGACTTGGTCAGCTTGCTCAAACTCGTACTAGTATGGCTGCTCTCCCCTCACTCGGAGGGTGACCAGAGGAGCCGCAGGTAGTCCCTAGGGGTAGCCCCTCTGCCAGTCCATTTGCCAGAAGATTCTCTACTGAGTGCCAGCCTACGTCTTTGTAACTTCTGCTCCTTTCTTCTGGCCCAGATGGCTGCTCTTCTTCATGGTGGCTCTGGGGACATTTGCCTGGTAATTGGCCTTGCCTCTCGGACACCTGGGCCAGGGGCCCTTGCCGCACCCCTACCCCGCCCTCATCTCCGTGGGGTTTCTGTGCTCCTCTCCTAACAGACACTCTTGATGGTGGGCCCGGTCTACCTGGACCCCCTGGGATGAGGCAGCAGCAAGCCCCAGTGTCCATGTTTGTGGGAAGACACTGAGTGTCCTCCTGGGCCTGACGTGAGGAAGAACATGAAAAGGCCCTTCCACACTGTTTTCTTCACACTCTGAACAATGAGGAGTGAGGGGGGCTGTGTGGTAAGAGCCCACGGCGCTAGCCGGAGGAGCTGAGGAGAAAAGGCGCTCAGAACACTCTCGTCCACAGCGCGGGGGTGGCGTCGATGCCACCACATCATCCCGGGGAGTCCTGTCTGACCTTGTGTCCTTCCCGGTGCAGGTGGTGCTTCCCACGTTCATTCTGGAGAAGCGATCCCTGCTGGAGATGTACGCAGACTTCATGGCGCACCCAGACCTGCTGCTGGCCGTGGCGGCGGGCGCCACGCCGGAGGAGAGGGTCGTCTGCTTCGTGGAGTATTATCTCACTGCCTTCCACGAGGGCCGCAAGGGGGCCTTGGCCAAGAAGCCTTACAACCCCATCATCGGCGAGACGTTCCACTGCTCCTGGGAGGTTCCCAAGGACAGGGTCAAGTCGAAGAGGACTGCTTCCCACTCTCCTCCCAGCCACGAACGCCTGATGGCTGATGACCCTCCCGAAAGCTACAAGCTGAGGTTTGTGGCTGAGCAGGTGTCCCACCACCCACCCATCTCCTGCTTCTACTGTGAGTGCAAGGAGAAGAGACTGTGCATCACCACTCACGTTTGGACCAAAAGCAAGTTCATGGGCATGTCCGTGGGGGTCTCTATGATAGGAGAAGGTAAGGCACGTCTTATGTTCGATGGAGTTTGGCTCTTACACGGTGATGTTTGAATACCTGGTAGATGACTGATGATTTTGTTTGTGGGGTTCCTTTTTTATTTTGCTTTGGAATTAGAGGTGAGTGAATGGGGAGGTGGGAAAGAGGGATGGGTTTTGTTATTTTGGGACCGGATCCTGGGTGATTTTTCAGTGGGGCCAAGGTGATGGGCTTGATGGGAGGTAGCTATTTGCTTAACCAGCTGCCCACCTGGATCTTCACATGTGACATGTGTCTGTGTGTGTGTGTGTGTGTGTGTGTGGTCTTACATATGCTTTACTTTCAGCTTTGCATGAATATTCGAGTTGGCCCCAAACCCATGAAACACATTTGTATTCATTCTCACTGGTTTTCTGGCTCACAGACAATGAGGGTAATTGTGCTACCTATTCACAATCTGCTCATAAAAACTCCCAAAGGCAGATCTCTGGACTCGGGGCGAGAGATTCTGCAGCAGGAACGTGGTGTAATCACACTACTCATGGGTTGCATGTTCTGTTTTAGCAAATCATTCAAGCATCTGTGTTAGTGGTTCTTTGACTTCTTTTAAGTCACAAATCCCTGTGAGACTCAAAGGATGTAGAATCACTTCCCAGAAAAACACACACACACACACAAACGAACGCAAAACTCGGCTTTCAGTTTCAGGGAGTATATGGCTCCTTTCCGAAACCTCATGAGATAAGAACACCTTTCATTCGCTTAGCACATTTTTATTGAGCACCTACTAGATGTCAGACATTGTCTTAAGAGCTGTGGATACTTGTATGAACAAAACAGTAAAAAAAAAAAATTCCTGTCTTTGTGAGGCTCCTATTCTATTCTCCTAGGGAAACAAAATTATGTTTGTTGTGTTGGAAGGTGAGTGCTGTGCAGGAAGAGACAGCCAAGAGGAGATGATTGGAGATGGTGGCTGGGAAGGCCTCACCAGAAGGTGACATTTAGGCAAAGACCCAAAGGGGGTGGTAAAGGATAAGCCTAGTTGGTGAGCAGGGGAAGAAGAGGTAAAGCAGAAAGAAGAGCAGAGGCCCTGTGTGCTGATGGAAGGCAGCAAGCCCGTCTCACTGGAGCAGGGTGAACAAGGCCAGAGGTGACTGTGGCCAGATCATGTGGGGCCTCAGGGGCCACTGCCCGGGGTGCTGGCTTTTATACTGAGTGAGCTGTGAAGCCATTTAGGGTTTTGAGCAGAAGCGTATCATGATCTGACTTACAGTTTCGGCAGATTGTTCAGCTGCTTGTTGGAAATGGACCATCGGAGGGATAAAGATGGAGGCAAGGAGACCGGTTAGGAGATTATGATGATCAGGCAAGAAGTGATGGTGGGACAGGGTGGGGTGTAGAGGAGGAGGGAAAATGTGGTAAGAGTCTGGATGTATTCGGAAGTGGAGAGAGCCAAGAGGACCTGCCTCTGGATTGGATGTGGGGTACGAGAGAAAGGTGTCAAGGCTTATGGGCTGAGCACCTAGAAGGATGGAATAGCCACTAACTGAGATGGGGAAGATGGGGGTCTGGGGGTGGGGAGAACTAACTTGGAGGGAGCGTATAAGGAGCTCAGTTAGGTTGTGTTATGGTTTTGACATTCAAGCAGGGTGTTTGGGTAGATGATTGGAGTTCTGGGGGGAGGTCCCAGCTGAGGTTAAACCTTGTAATTTAAAGCCTGGAGACTAACGAGACTGCTAAGTGAGCACTGATCCGCCAGCATTCAGAGGGCCCAAGGGTGAGGCGCAGCAGTCAGGGACATGGAGGTGGCGTGGCCAGAGAAGTAGGTGGAATGGGAGCAGGTGCTTCCTGCCAGCCAAGTGAAGACAGTGTTTCTAGGAGGACAGGGAGTGATCAGCTGAGTCCAGTGATGCTGCTCCATTCTGGGAAGATGAGGACTGAGAATTGACCATTGGATTTGGACGGTGAAGGTCGTTGGTGATCTTGACAGGGGCTGTCAATGGAATGGTGCTGGTGCAAATCTGATTGAAATACAGCAAGCAGTCCCCCTTATCCATGGGTGATACATTCCAAGACCCCCACTGGATGCCTGAAACCAAAGATAGTACCAAACCTATATATACTGTGTGTTTTCCCACATGTATACACTACCTGTGATAAGTTTAAACTGGTCTTGCTCTTTGAGTCGATCTGAAAACCCAGACGGCTACTAAGTGACTAACGAGCTGGTAGGATATACATTGTGGATACACTGGATCAATGGAGGGACTGAGTGGGACAGTGAGATTTCATCATGCTACTCAGAATGGGACATAATTTAAAATTTATGAATTATTTCTGGAATTTTCCATTTAATGTTTTCAGGCAACAGTTGACCACAGGTAACTGAAACCGTGGACAGTGAAACCACCAATAAAGGGTGACTGCTGTCAAGTCAGGAGAGAATGGGAGGGCAGGATCTGCAGACACTAAGTATACACAGCTCTTCTTATTTGTTGTTTGAGTGCTGTGTACTGTTTGGGGGGAAACCACTCTTGGGTCCCACTTCTCCGCTGTCTCGGGCTGTAGGCTTACCCTCTGAGGTGCTTACCCTCCAGGTGGAGGTAACAGGATAGCTACTCCAGAATAGCCACAGATCAGCCCAGCATCAGTGTTGGCCTTTCATGGGTCTTCCATGCACACAGGCTCAATGTTCAGGCATGATTTTCGGCAGCATCTCCATGGCTGCTCTGTGAAAAATGGACTGAAGGTGGGAGCCAGGAGGTCCCTGTAACAAAGCTATGAGTAGACAGACAAGCTGGTTTTTTTTCCTCCTACCTGCTCCTATACACACCCCCCCCACACACACACTCTAAATCTGAGATTAGCCCTGGCTGGTTTGCTTAGTGGTTAGAGCATTGGCCTGTGGACCGAAGGATTGTGGGTTTGATTCCTGGTCAAGGGCATGTACCTGGGTTGCAGGCTCCATCCCTGGCCTTGGTTGGGTTGTGCAGGAGGCAACAATGGATGTCTCTCTCTGTCTCTGTCTCTCTCTCTCTGTCTCTCCCTCCCTTCCACTTTATCTAAAAAAAAAAAAAAAATCAATGGGAAAATATCCTCAGGTGAGGATAACCAAAACAACAACAACAAAAACAGGCAGACTAAGTGTTCGGTAGACTCGGTAGATATAATACATTCTGATCAAATTAAATGCATTTTCTGATACACAGAAAATGAATATATTCACGTTCCTTTCTGGGGATTCCCCTGCACTCAGCAGAACCGCCAGAGGCAACTGTCAAGACGTGGGAAAACCACAGATACTTAAATTACAGCCTGGGCTGGCGCCTCCCAGGCGCTGCCCGTAAGCAGGGATTCTTGAGGTTAGACCAATATCTGGACATGTTTGATAAAGGTAAAGATTTGTGAATCCCTTTCTAGTGATTTAGGGAATTCTTCAATCAGAGAAACTCACCCCCTTTCTGGTCTCAGGGCTGCTTCCTCCTCTCCCCAAATAGTAAATAAGCACCCACACAGCCTTCTGGCACCAGGGCTGGGCTGCGTGAGCGGTGGGTGTGGCCGCCGCGGTGGGTGTGGCCGCCGCGGTGGGTGTGGCCGCCGCGGTGGGTGTGGCCGCCGCGGTGGGTGTGGCCGCCGCGGTGGGTGTGGCCGCCGCTGTTTCAGAGCCAGCCTCTCCTCCCAGCACGTCTCACCTCTTCCCTCGTTCTCCGTCCTGGTCCACCTGGCAGCCCTCTTGTGCCCGCAGCCCCTGCACCTAAGCCACACCTTGCACAGGGCCCCTTCCATACACAGCCCAGCAGAATCCATGGCCTCCAGCCACCTACTCCGGAGCTCCCCTTGAGAGTGCCGGGGTCCTCCGACTCGGTCCCCACCCTGGCAGCTTCACTGTCTCTTGTTGGCAGTTGTTGTGTGTCTGTCTCCATAGGGTAGGCCTTTGATGTCCCAGGGTCTTAGCTCGCATGTTCCCAGCTCCCAGCAGGTAGGGGCTGGGCCTCGACTTCTCCGCACAGCCCCGGGCGCTCGCAGGTGCGCAGGCGCACACAGCTCTGGATGCCGTGGGTGGGAAATGGGGCACAGTACCCCCTTCTCTGAGATCCTTCGCCGTAGCCATCCCCGACGCCGACTTGGGATCCGCTGTTCTCCCTTCACCCGCGTGGAAAGTAAGGGCAGACCTTCGCAGTAGTGTGGGGCCCAGGACATTCTGAGACTGGAGGCCCCTCCTGGATGCGTCTCCACGCGGCGAGCTCCTGCGTGGACAGAGCGGGAGAGTCCGCGAGCCCTGGCCAGGCGTGGGAGGCCCTAGGTCTGCCTGCGCCCTCCCAGCAGCTGCACCCACCTTTCTGTCACACGGGTTCAACGTGCGCCCTGTTACAGATGTTCTTATCGACACAGCAGAAGGCCTCGGAGCCAAAGGTTTGTTCCTGTACTGGCTCCTTTGGAGGCGGGGCCGGGAGGCGGGTGCCCCCCCCCCCACACACACTCATTTCCTGCGTGGATCCAGCATCCATGAATTGTTTGACTCTAGTCTGAGGTAACATTTTCCCAACCCCCTCACTTTAAAATTCAGATCTTAGATGGGCCCCCTTGACATTTTGTAGGTAAATACATGGGCTTATCTTTTAAATTACCGCCTTAGGCTGTGGTATATTAGCTACAATAAAATACCATTAGAAGGAGCTTCATTTTGTTCTGAGACCACCCTCCCCACCGGGCATCAGCTCTGATAGACACCCCCTAACTGAGACACTGCGCAGTCACCCCTCCACTCTGTCCAGGGGAGCAAAGGGCCTCTACTCAGCACCCCCAACACTGCTGGGAGCTGAGACCCATTCAACTGCTCTTGCAACCGGCCTCCCCCCTAAACACCAGAACCGGTGCCCAGTACATGGCGCAGCCTGTGAATGAGCCTGTGGGGAAAGACGATTAGTCCTAGTAAGAGAGAGACCTTCGCTGGAGCCGGTGACTCGGACGCTGCTGCAGCCGGTCCAGTTGCTGTGATTCTGTGCTTTCCAGACTAAATGTTCTCCCAGAGTGTCTTGGTTCCTCAGGTTGAGATCGGGTATGAAATTATTTTAAATTTATCAATGAACATCAGCCTTAATGCTTGGCCTTATGCTGATTGATACATCCGTTTGTGGGATTTAAGACGCGCTCACCTTGGCGTGGAGGTTTCGGTGATTTGGCATATTTCGGTTTCTCTCAGCTCCGAGGCTGATGAAAAAGGAGCTTTCGTTTGTGACCCCGGCTGTCAGTCTAGTTATAATATAGTCTTTTATTCCTGTCAGGGGCAGGCATTTCTTTATGCAACCCTGAAAAGGGAATTATTGTTGAGAAGGTATAATTCCAGGTTACTTAATAAGTGAGCTCACATTTATGCATTTTCAGAACAGAGCCAAAGGAAGTGTGGTCTCGCTAATGCCTTCAGACCAGCTTAGCTTTGGGGCTCACTGGCTTCTGGGGACTTGAGGGAAATTTCACCTTGGTTTGAAAGAGATTTTTCTAAAGATGAGGGGCAGGAGGGTGGTGCCTCCCACTGATCTCTTCACCCCCTGGGTGCATAGCCCATCAGCAGACTTTTCGATTTCCTCTTTATCCCCAAATGGAAATACCACGGTTAAGAATTCACCCATTGAGACAGCTGCTTTAGAGAGTGAGAGGGATTAGGAGATAGCACCTGGAGGATTCTGGTGGTGTGTCAGGCTGCGAGCTTGGAGCTGAGTTTTTGAATCACCTTCCCCTCCCACTGCAGCCCAGGGAGGCACAGGTACGCAGGCGCAGAGAAGTTAGATCGCCAGGATGGTGAGTGACGGAATGATCCAGGTCTTTAAAAAAAAAATGTGTGTGGCATGTTCTCCATGTAAATGTGTTGTAAAGAAAACATCAAAGTCCGCGTTTGTGCTGAGACGGGGAAGACTGGCTGGTGGGGCTCGTGGCTGTGTGTGATCCTGTTGAGAAGAGAGGCTGCTGGCAGGGTGTGCAGATGGTGAGAGTCCCCAAGGTGCTCCCCTTAAGGACCCGAAGGGCTGACCACAAGATAGGGACCCCACAGACACCAGGGCGAGGCGGTGCTGTTGGGGAGATGTGCTGGCCACCTGGAAGATTTTACTAAGTGGTCCATCAGCACCCGGACAGGGCTGTGGTCGGGAACCTGCTCCTCTGGCGCTTGGAGGCACGGTGGCTGGCAGCCTCCCCCAGCTGCCACATGAGACTGTGAGCATGGTCTTGGCATTGGAGGAACGGGGGGCTTGTGAGTAGAAAGGGGCAGGGAGGGAAATCTGAGGTGACCACTCTCTTTCCATCTTTCACGTCTGGCTCTTCTTGACCGTTGCTGTCATGTCTGTGTGGCATTAGCCACAATTTTCCATCTGCTTTGGCCCCTTTTCAAGCAGCCTAACTTGGGGGATGTCCGATACAAAGTAGGCTTGGAAACAAAAAATATGTCAGACTTGGCCGTTCTCCTCCAAGGGTCCTGATCAGAAACCGTAAGGACTGAGGACCGAAGGCTAGCTTCTCACAGACAGTGGTCCTCCCTTACTTTCATGGAGAGGACGGGTCTGTAAGTGTCGTTTGGGGGCAGTTCCACTCTTTGAGTCAGAGGAGGAGGGACACATGTCAGAGAGACGGCAGTAGGTGGCCTGGGGCTTACTTTTAGTAAGATGGGCCAGTTCAACGACAAGGGCTATTGGCGATTGGGAAGTGGCGAGAGGTTGGACTGTTCTGAACCTCAGCATGTCGGGGGTAGTGGGCTCGTGCAGTTGGTGCCTGTATGTTGCATATAGTCAATTATATTCCTGGCCAGGGAGAGGAAGATTTAAATGCTGCTGTGACACGTACCCTCGCAGCCCTGCCCGCGTGAGCCCGTGTGTGAGCATCTCTCCGCGCTGGGCATGGCCAAGACCCCAAACACGTGAGCCATCGCCTGGGGTTTCCAGAGCCGTCAGATGTGTCTGTAGGTCGGCAGAACTGACTCGAGTGGGCCTGGGAGTGAGGGTGCTGGTTCCAGGTGAGCCAAGGATGTTTACAGACTGTGGGACGTGCAGACGGCGGGGATTTTCAGGGTAAATGGAACTGTAGTTGAGCGCATATTTGTGCCGACTTCAGAAACTCAGACTCCCCTGCACGACGTGGTCTCATCTCTCCTCAGATCTCCTGTCAAGCTCATCAGTACTCAAAGAATCCCAATCAACCTCTCTTTCTCTCTCTGGCAAAGTCTAGTTCTGACTGATTGAGATGCTTGTCTAGCCTACGAGAGAAGTACTGACCAGCCGGATTACTTAGCCTCTCTACGTTTGTTTTCTCATCATTATTTTAAAATGATGATCATCATGGCTGCACAGTCTGGCTGGGGAGCTAAGGGAGATAGTGCCCGGGAGGCTCCAGGATCGCCTGGCAGCCAGAACGGGCCACACGGGGGTGCCGTTGACCCTGCTCCTCGCTCCAGGAGAGGGACTGGGAGCCCAGGCAGGGGACACCACTGCCCACCTCTGGTCACATGTGTCTGGTCAAAGGGTGGAACTCTCCCTTCTTCCCGAGGCTCAGGACGCCCTTGCAAATCTCCGGGTCTGCCGTGAGCTGGGGTCGAGCTGGGAGGGCATTTCTGTGGGGAGCGAAGCCCCGGTGCCCGAATGGGATGCTGAGAAGGTGTCTTCTGCAGAGCAAATCTGAGCTGTAGGGCTGGTTCTCAGGGACTCTGCCAGCTTGTCGGGGCCTCTGTGTGAAGCGGAGTGCTGCCCGTCAACACAGAGGCAGCCCTGTGGGTGCCCAGCCAGACGAAGCAAAGCGAGGACTTCAGCCCTCGGTGGGCTCCGAGCGTCCTGCACAAACTGTACAGTGGCCCTGCGGGTTTGTGTTTGGAGGTGGTCATAGCCTTGGAGAATTTGATGGAAACCCCTTTTCCCTAGAAAACTAGAAAAACCCACATAATGTTTCACTGTTGAAAGAGGATTAGACTTCTCCAAGCCTGATGCCTGGGTCCGAGGACGGAGAACCCCTGGCATAGAGGGGAGTGTTGAGCTCCAGCCCCTGAGTTGCTGGCAGCAGCTATATAGTCTGATCCTCGAACTTCATGAGAACCACCCAAGTTGTTTCTCTTGCTCTCAGGATAAAGGCAACACTCCTTAACCTGCTTTTTTCAAAGTTTAAATCACAAGGTCTGGCCTCTCCTGACCTGGCCAGCCTCCACGCCTGTGCACACCACCTCTCTTTCTGCTCATGAGCCCTTTTCTCAGCCCCGTCATGCTCTCTGGACTCCTTCCTACCACATGGCCTTTGCACATGCTCTTCCCTCTTCACCTACTCAGCTCTCACCGACTCCTGTGTCCTCTCCTCAGGGAAACCTCCCTTCCAGCTCAGCTCCTGTTGCTGGCCGCCATGGCACTGGGGACCTCTCCTTTCCACCTTCATCACAGTTAGTTTGTTTGCTTGGTGATTGATTAGTGACCACCTTTCTGTTCTGCTCCTTGAGGACAGACAGTGGGCCTGTCTTCTTCACTGTTGTATTCTCAGCGCCTCACACAGTGCCTGGCACACGGTAGGGCGCACAGTAAATAAATGCAGGGCAAATACAGCCAACCTCGGCAGAGATGGGAGACCAATGCCCTTTGCAGGGGGCTGGTTTCTCCTGTGTCTTTTGACCCCCTCCTCCCCCCAGCTGCCCTTTTCTTGTACGTGTGTGCTTGACTCTTCCCTGCTCTCTCCCTGGAGGTGTGTTGAGGCTCCTGGAACATGGGGAGGAGTACGTGTTCACCCTGCCTAGTGCCTATGCACGCTCCATCCTCACCATCCCCTGGGTGGAGCTTGGAGGAAAAGTCAGCATCAACTGTGCCAAGACCGGGTACTCCGCAACCGTGATATTCCACACGAAGCCTTTCTATGGAGGGAAAGTGCACAGGTAGGAGGCGGCCAGGGAGGCTCCGTCTTTGTCTTATCACAATGCCCTGAGGTTCATTTCTTCATCAGAAATTGGGTTCCAGCCATGGAATGAATAGAAAATCAAGATAAAGTTGTTAACACATATTTTTTAAGAGGAGCTTCGCCACCCCATGATAGTTCTTTTAACCCTCCCAGGTAAATGTATGGTGAAATCCTTCGGTGATGTATTTGCAAGACACACACCAATAACCTCTCCCTCTCGACGCCGCAGCCGGTTCCTCTGATCTGAAGCCGTGTGATCTGTGAGCTCCCACTGCCTGAGAGCTCCCGGTTCATGTTAAGCTGGCTCCATGAAGTCTCCTGAATCCCATATCATCTGTGAGATCAGGACCACTTCTTTGCCTTAGGAGCTGGGGAAGCCCAAGCCTAAGAAATCAAAGGCGAGGTCGGCTGTTTGCAGAAGCACAATGTTGGTTTTATTGCTCCAGTTACACAAATTCCTCCTTCAGAGCAGATCGCTGTGTAAACAGGCCCCCATCTTTGCCCTGTTTCTCGGAGAGCGTTCTGTATGATGTCAGAGTGTCTGTCGTCCTGGAAGCCGACAACCTCTGGCTGTTTTGGAGCCAGACACCCTGGCTCACAAGCCGATGCTGTGCACTTCCCCCAGCTGCACCCCTCCTAGCAAGTGGGTAGCTTGAAATCGGTGGTGGTGGGGCCCCACAGAAATCGGCAGATACTACGCATCAGGTGTCTCCCCTCCTGGAGAGCTGGCTGTTAAACCTTCACCAGCGCACCACTAACACCTCCCGCTGTGTGTAGCTGGCCGGTTCCCTATGCTGCCCAAGAGCCTTGGGGGTGTTCAGGCTTGGGTGGGAAGCTTCCAAGCCTGCGTTTGAAAACTCCGAATTCAACCTGAGCTGGGCCGTGAGGAAGAGAAGAGCTTTCCTCCCGTGCTTGGCAGCTTGGACGGGATCCCCCGTTTCTGCTGTGTCCCTATCTCTGTGCTGCAGGGCAGAGAGGGAGCTAGGGTCTGCTGTCACCCCGAGCTGGACACCCGGAGCTCCCTCAGGCCAGGCAGGTGACGCAAGAGCTCACACATCTCCACCAAGGCTCTCTGAAAGCCAGCTTGGAGGTGGTCCCCCTGAACCGCTGCTGTGAGAAGGCAGGCATCGGTGCAGGGCCAAGCAAGGGGTAGGGTTGGCTCGGCTTTCGTTAGATTAGCCCATCAACTAATCTATAGACTTGATTCATCTCTCACCAGTTTTTCCATCAATGCCTTCATCTTTTGTTTAAGGGTATTAGATCACATTTTATAAGCTAGTCTGAGCAAAATACTAAAAACCAATTCCCGTCCATGCCACCCCTTTAAAAAAAATCTCCAAATGGGGGTCCACCTTTAGAAGTCAGGCTCTGTGTTTTGATAATCTCGCAAAGCGTGTTCATTTGATTCATTCATCCATCCCTCCGTGCAGGGTCACGGCAGAAGTGAAGCACAACCCAACCAACACCATTGTCTGTAAGGCCCACGGGGAATGGAACGGCACCTTGGAGTTCACCTACAGCAACGGGGAAACCAAAGTCATCGACACGACCACGTTGCCCGTGTGCCCCAAGAGGATCAGGCCTCTGGAGAAGCAGGGGCCCATGGAGTCCAGGTGGGTCAGGCCGTTTCTCTCCGGCGTGGTTGTCCCGAGCGCTTGACCCGGGGACGGAGAGGGAGCCGTAGGAAGTTCTCTGCGAGTCATTCGGGAGAAGATCCTTTGCATCTTCCAGTCTGGCATTCTGCCCTTGCGGCTGGAGCGTGAAGACAGCTGCAGCTTATTTTTAGTGCCTGTCCGCAGTTTGTCAACGCAACTGGCCTGTCGCTTAATCACAAAGTTAAATAGAGAGTCACTAGGAATCAAAGAACTGTGCCGTGAAGCACTGAGATCCTTTTTTTTTCTTACCAGATTAGCAACGTACTTTTAAAAGTTCAGTGCTGGCAAGGGTGTGATCAGATTGACACTCAGGACCTGCCTGCAGCAGGAAGCCGTGAGGTTTAGCTGCATGGGTCAGTAGCTCTAGACTCATCAAGCAGCTGAACCTTGCGTTCCACTTCTGGGAATCTATTCTAAAGGAAAATTCTTAAATGCAGAAAAGTTTTAAACATAAAACTGAGTATATGTATGTGTGTGTGGTGTGTATGTGTGTGTGTGCATATATATGGGTGTGTATATATATGAGTGTGTGTAATACATAAACACACACATACACACTCAATTATGTATTTATCCAATATATAGATATTTTAAAATGAAACAAAAGAAAAAGCAACCGCCTGCCCATTCGGCAGGAGGAGCACAGTGAAGTCTGTCGAGCATTCGCTCGGTTAGCGTGTCCACTCTGCGTGGTGCATATAGTGCAGCCACGCCGAGGGAGGTTTATGCAGGCGCACAAGCTGACTCTTGGAAGAGTGCCGTTTTGAGTTTCAGTCCGGGGGTCAGCACACCGGGGCCCGGAGCTAAGTCTCGCCTGTAGCTGACGTGTAGGAGTTTAGGGGAACACACCCTGATGGTTGTGTTCCACTGCCTTCCTCCTGCCGCGGCCACTAAGTAGTGTGACCGAGACCGCGTGCCGGCCAAGCCTGAAGTGTCTACTGTCTGGCCCTTCACAGAAAATGCTTGCTGACCGCTGCTCTTTTTTTTTATTTATTTATTTTCATTTTCTTAGTCCTCACCTGAGGATATTCTTTTCCATTGATTTTTGGAGGGAGGGGCAGGGAGGGAGACAGAGAGACAGAGACAGAAACATTGATGTGAGAGAGACTCATCGATTGGTTGCCTCCCACACATGCCCTGACTGGGGCCGGGGATTGAATCTGCAACCCAGGTTCGTGCCTTTAACCAGGAATCAAACCCACGACCCTTCAGTTTGCAGGCTGATGCTCTAACCACTGAGCACACCAGCCAGAGCTGACCACTGCTCTCGTCTAAAACCATATGCTGCTCTTTAGATATATGAGGTAGGATTAAAGTAAAATTCCGGATTCTGTGAAAGGGTTGCCTTTCTAAGAAGAGTGTGTAGCCACTGGGCAGTGTTAATTATATAGAAACGAAGCAGGGTGCAACAGTGCAAATAAACAAAACGTTGTAACTGAGTTTAATAAAACCAGGGCCCCAGTACCTCTGCAACCTCCGCTTCATGGTAGGATTAGCACACTCTTGTTCTTCTGATTATTCAGGGACAATGAGTGTAACCTTCTCTGTGTCCAAATGGAAGGCCTGAACTTCTACCCATTGGCTTTTTTTTAAAAAAAAGTTATTCTTCTGTATTAATTTTAAAGAGAGAGGAAGGGAGAGGGAGAGAGAGATAGAAACATCAATGAGAGAGAACATTGATTGGCTGCCTCCTGCATGTCCCCCACTGGGGATCGGGCCCACAGCCTGGGCATGTGCCCTGAGCAGGAATTGAACTGGCGACCTCTTGGTGCATGGGTCCATGCTCAACCACTGAGCCACACTGGCTGGGCCCACCCATTGGCTTTTATAGCTGAGCCTATTGGGCCATAGTAGTAGGACAAGGGACAGGCTGCAACAGGAAAGGAAGCCACTTGCTTGGCCACACTGCCTCTGATGAAGCCTTCCCAGAGTCAGGAACCCTGTGGTCGCTGTCGTGGCATGGCTGTTGCTTCTGGTTTGCCTGTTGCTTCTGGTTTGGACAACAGAACTGGTCACCTTGGGCTGTGCTTCCAGGCTGTGGAGTAGGTTAGCTGCTCCTTGTTAATACTCTTTCCTGCCCTGGCTGGTTTGGCTCAGCGGTTAGAGTGTCAGCCCACGGACCAAAGAGTCACGGGTTTGATTCTGGTCAAGGGCACGTACCTTGGTTGCAGTTTATTTCCTGGCCCCGGTCAGGGTCGTGCAGGAGGCAACCATTGATGTGTCTCTCTCATATCAGTGTTTCTCTCTCTCTCTCTCCCCCCCTCCCACTCTATCTGAAAATAATAGAAAAATCGCCCTGGCCGGTTTGGCTCAGCGGTTAGAGCGTCGGCCTGCAGTCCGGAGAGACCCGGGTTCGGTTCCCGCTAAGGGCACGTACTTCGGTTGCAGTTTGTCCCCGGCCCTGGTTGGTCGTGCGGGTGGCAGCCACTCGATGTGTCCCTTCACGTCGATGTTTCTCTCTCTCTCTCCCTTCCTCTCTCTCCCTCCCACTCTATCTGTACAAAATATGGAAAAATATCCTCAGGTGAGGATAAAAATAAATAAATAAATAAATAAATAAATAAATAAATAAATAAATATCCTCGGGTGAGGATTTAAAAAAAAAAAGATTCTTCACTGCCTCTCAGTCCAGGGGAGCTCAGAATTCAGCCTGTAGAGAGGATGGGATCTCGTATGGGAGTAAGACAGATGGGTGCTACCTTTTTTGACTTACATACGTGGACTTGACTGAAACATGGGACTGAGCTGCAGGGAGACCAAGCCCAGCTCACCTTGTTTTCCCTGGAGGAAACAGCCTTGGAAGGGTTATAGCTGGACCAGGGACTTCTTGCTGCTCAGAGCACCTGAGACCACTCACCTCGCGATTCTGCCAGGCCTTAACTGCAGAGGCACAGGAGGGACCATCTGCATGGCTTAGGCGGGCCAGTGGGTAGACCAGTTGTCCCAGCCCTCACAGTGGTGGGAGCCCTGGTGGAACCCCCAGTCCCCAGCTAGCCCTCTCGGAGGGGAGGGAAGCACAGCCCATCAGGGCAGAATGAAGACATCTCTCTTTGTCTGTTCACACCTGTGCATTTGTTCACATGCCCACAGTTTGGTCTGAGCAGATGTCCTGCCTTGGCCTCAGCCTCTCCCGGCCCTTTGCCATGATGCCCCCCCCTTCTCAGGGAGGGCTCCCCTCAACTTCCTTTTTCCTTTTCTCACGGACCTGCGCCCACCTTCCCCCCCTGAAGGCTCCTGACCTTTCTGCATTTTCTTTTGAAGTTCAGTCTTCCCCAGATGAGCCTCTAACCCCTTCCCACTGGCCCCCACCTTCAGATAGTGCTCTTGGCCGGATCCCTGTATGTCTGTCTGGGGCCAGCTCTTGTCCCATTACCCCCTCTCCAGTCCTTGGGAGTCTCTGCCTTCTAACTGGGGGCTACTGTCTTAGATGAGGCTTATCATGGGAGGTCCTGCTCTTGAGAGCACCCCCCGCCCTGGTGTCGTGGTGCCTAGCCCCTTCCTCAGCATGTGTGTTGAGGATGTGGGTGATGGGGGACGAAGATGGTGCGGTACAGCCCTCAGCTCCTGTTTCCTTCCCTCACCTCCCTCACTGGCTTTGGCCAGTCGTGTCCTCTCTTAAGTCACTATCTGGGCACAGGAAAAACAGCCAGGGCGCTCGGCTGCTCAGGCATGGCTTATATTCCAGTCCAGGTTTCCCCAGGTCTGTGCAGGTGGGACTCAGGCGGGGCCAGAGGGCAGGCTGAGCCTGCAGCAGGAGCTCGACGCCCTCAGCAGGGCCTGGTCGTCGTCCCTGCTCTGCTCGGAGGCCCCGCGTGGACCGACAAGGGCACTCTGTGCAGGTGTGCTCCCTGGCCCAGGGGGAAGTCATTGGATCCGAGTTTTCTTTTATGTCCAATCCTGACTTGTCCTGATGTGTCTGAGGGAGGAAGTGCGTGGGTGATGGTCCCTGCTCTACCTCAGCCCCTTTCCTTACCCTCTTGAACATCGTGTACGAATCAGGGGTGGTCCTGGGAAATCCGAGGAGGAAAACTGCACGTGAGCCAGGACCCAGTCTAGGCCACCCGCTACAGTGAGTGTGTGTGTGGGGGGGCAGAGCCTGCAGCCCAGACGACCCCCCCCCCCCCCCAGTCTATAATCCTCATGCCGTATTTCTCGGCGTGCTGACCTCGGGCAAGTCACTTCACCTTGTCTGGACCTGGTGTCTCCCCTTTAAAATGGGGATGATACGATAGCATCTGTGTCAATGGGTTGTTGTGATGATTGCGTGAGTTAATACTATGTAAAATACCAAGAAAGATGGTAAACGCCATATAAGCGTCTGCTTGTTTGTAGTAGCGGTGCTACTGCTTACTCCTGGGACCACTAGATTCAGCCGCAGAAGTCAGTCCCGGAGAGGCATGGCGCTCGCGACAAGAGGGGTTCACAGCACGGACTTGGAGTGGGTAGCCCTGCGTTCCAGCGCTGGTTCTGGGGGTCTGTGAGGCCCCTGCAAGGAGCCGCCTCTGCAGGTGACCTGCCTAGTCCTCCTCTTCCCTGCTCTGCCCTCCCCTGCCCTGGCCAAGCATGACCATCCTGGAGTCTGCCGTCCCTCCCTGACCGTTCCTCTCCTCCCTGCATCCCCAGGAACCTCTGGCGGGAGGTGACCCGATACCTGCGGCTGGGCGACATCGATGCGGCCACGGAGCAGAAGCGGCACCTGGAGGAGAAGCAGCGGATGGAGGAACGGAAGCGGGAGAACCTCCGCACACCGTGGCAGCCCAAGTATTTTATCCAGGAGGTAACTTGGCCACCTGTTTGGGCGCTTGTCCGAGTGAGGGGCAGGTGCATCTGTCTGGCTAATGCAGTGGTTTGGATGGAGGAGGGGGCAGGGGAGGTCCTGGGAAGTTGTGGGCAGCTCGGCTCTGGCTCCAGCTTGGGGCCAGGTTGTCCTGTGGGTAGAACTGAACCCGACACTGTCCCTCTGGCCGCCTCCAGCAGAAAAGCCCATCAGCCTGCCAGGGAGGGCGAGGAATGGGATTGCAGAAGGGATGCTGTCCTGTTCGTACAAAAGAAACACGACCCCTGCTGCTTTGTCATTAGCTGCAAGTCCGTCACGAGGCGCCTCGCAGCTGTCCCCGCACCGGGTGGGCAGGAACCTGCGTGACTGCGAACGGCCCCTTCCGAGCTCTGCCCCCCGTGGGCCAAACGGCATGGACGTGCCAGGACAGGCCAGCCTGAGTCCTGTGCCTGAATCTGCCGCTCTCACCCCAGAGGGACCCTGGAAGCAGGAAGCTCCATGACTGTCCGCCCACTGGGCAGAGGGCGAGGCACTGTGTGCTCGGTTGAGGCCCTTGTGCTCTCGAAATGGTTTGTGGAGCAGCTGGGCAGCGTCAAGAACAGACCTGGACCCGCAGTGAGCCTGGCAGCCAGTTTGCAGGGCAGGTTTGCAGGACTAGCAGCGCAGCGAGCAGCCGGCAGGACTGGGCAGCGCTGGAGTCTGTACCTAGAGGGGGCGATGCCACTTGGAACCTCCAGGCGATCGCAAACTGTCCCCTTCCTCACAAGAAGCCAGAAACCTGAGTTTTAGGAGAAGCCTGATATTCACAGGGTGTGAAGGAATTTTAAAAACGTGAACACTGAGCGCCAACTGAAATATGCCAGGGCTTCCTTTGACTCAGGCGCGGGGAAGGTCTGACTTGTGCTAGAGGATGGATTCGTCTGTGTAGGCGGAGGCCGTGGGGCGGGTTGGTCACCCTGAGGTGGTTTCTCTTCGGGCGCAGGAAGCAGGGGCTGCGGCGGTGGACGGGAGACTCCAGTGTTGGATTCCGGTTCGGGCAGGAGGCCTGCTTGGGGAGCCTCTGGGTGGGAACCCTGCCTGGAAGCCTTGCCCAGGAGAAACAGAACGGAACCAGAACCAACAGGAGACACAAAAACATGTAGATTGATTATGAGGAATTGGCTCTCGAGATTATGGAGCCGGAAAATCCCAGAATCTGCTGTTTGCAAGCTGGAGACCCCCGGGAAGCTGATGGTGTAATTCAGTCCAAGTCCAATGAGGACCTGGGGAGCCTGATGGTGTGAATCCCTGTCCAGGGGCAGATAAGACGTCCCAACTCAAGGAGTGAGGCAGGGAAAAAGGTGGATTCCTCCTCTTTGCACTTTTTCTTCTTTTCACGTCTTCAACATGTTGGATGATGCTCACCCACATCGGGGAAGGCAATTTCCTTTGCTGAGTCCACCCATCAAATTTTAATCTCAGTCGGAAACACCCTCACAGATACACCCAGGAATCATGTAATCTGGGCCCCCAGGGCCTACCAAGCTGACATATAAAATTAACCGTCACAAAGCCTTCAAGGATCCTTCTTGAAGGTGGATGTGGTCCCTCTGAGACAACTACGTTTGCCTGGCTTCTGTGGAAAGTTGCACATTCAAATAACAAAATGACAACAAACGAACGTAACTATTGTTCCTGCTGGGTTTAATGAAAAACAATGTGTTCGTAACAGAAGGCTTAAGGATATGTAAATTTAAGAATCACCCCAGTATCAGAATCGTTACCACTCAGTATATGCCCTTCTAGTGTAGCACCAGACTGAGTGCACCATTTTGATTCTTGCCCTTTTTCACTGGTATGTGATTGGTGGTATTTCTAGTGTGTGACTGATCTGTGACTCCGGCCTGCTGGAGAGAGCTTTCCCTGACTCTCCTCCCGGCTGCTGGCTGCAGATCACTGGCTTGGGCAGACTCCTCACACGCAGGCCTGTTTGTTCATCCAACACCCTTTCCCCACTGTCCTGCTGTTTAAAAGAGCCCCCCCCCCCAATCTTCCTTGATGTAAACCAATGAAGCCCCCCTTCTTTTGTTATTTTGGTCATTTTGAGGAGGGGTAGTGAGCCCAGCAGCCTGGCGTGGCTGAGACCAGGACAAGGCAGACGCGCACGCGGTGGTCCCGGACAGAAGCTCCCAGAGCAGCTGTGGTGCACGGTGCTCAGCTTCCGACCGGGCAGAGTGCTAGGGCTCTAGGGCTCTCGTTTCTCCACGGCCTACGGAGGTCTCCATGTAACGTCTTCTCCCTTCTCTTACAGGGTGACGGCTGGGTCTACTTCAATCCCCTTTGGAAGGCACACTGATGGGGTAGAGGTGCAGAGCCTTCAGAAAGAGCCCTGTTTTTGTAGGAATTAAAGTGGTACAGTATCAAGGTTCTGTTGGTATTCACTGAGACCTCTTGATATCGTTCAAGAAATGGTACCTGAGAAATTATATACTGTGAAAAATGTACTCCAGACTCTGCTATAGGATTAAATTTATTCAAGAGCCATTTGGGGCATGTGTGTGTACAGTGGTGTGTGAGCTCTTGGCACAATACATGTTCACACACATGCATTATATACACATCTGCTGGGTATTACACGTGTAAATTCTGCACTTACCAAGATTTAAGTGGGTAATTATGGGCTCCTTTTTATCAATGAGGTTTGACATTTTCTATTTCTCACTTTGCCAAAAATATTTTGCACTCTCAAAAATATTCTCCTGTAGTCGACTCCTGTCAAAACAAAAGTGACTTGGCATGGCCCAACTGACATCCACCTGGTAGAAATCGGTTCCTTCCTGGTAGGTGGCTGTCATTTCAAAATCATTGCGATTCCCTCCTCCCGCCTCACTTCAACATTTCATCTGTCCATACTCCAGAAAGATAAACAGCTATTTTCTGCTGAATGGGGAGTGGGCAGGAAGATAGTAAACGTTTATGCCAGAGCCTTTCGAGACGGGGCACCTCTGGGAGAGCCTAGAGCCAGGCCCACCTTGGAATTTTCCTGCCGCCTACTTGCCCCAGAAACTTTCTAACAATTTCTCATGCTCAAAGCACTAGTCATACATTTCCAGAAGCTGCAGCTTTTACAGTAGAAAACAAGTCATATGGAGACTTCCCTACTTTTATGATGAAAAAAGGGCTTTAGAAGTTAAATATACGCATGCATATATAAACATGCACAACCACAGCCTCCAGGAAAAAAGAAAATTTCCTGTGGATTTTTTTTTTTTTTTTAGTGCACCTCTATTGTTTGTCCCAAACTCTGCAAGAAAACCACTGTGATTAAAATAAAGTCTGCTTAAGTGTTCCATGGTTTCAGTTGAATTTCAGTCCTCAGCCTTTACAAATGAGGTCAAGACATGACTACAATATAAAGCAAGGGGAAAAAATGACATCTGATTTTTGCTCAATGCTTAATTTATTTTTTACAGTTGTCACTGAAGAATATTTATAAAATCCAGTAGCATGAATGCTTCTCTGTAGTAATACTAATTCTGTGCCTTTTGTCTGCTTTCTTAAGACCAAATGTTCACACTTTGTAGATATTAGACAAATATATTTCGATTAAATACTATGTCTGTGTGTCTTTTGTTTTTAGGGAGTCAAAAATTCTTTTGTAATTGGTGGCTCTAAATGAGCTCATATTTTATTGGTTCGATGTTGTTAATTTGATGTGAACAGCATTCATCTTTACATCAAAACAGTATTTCAAACCCATTGAACAATCTATCAGATAAACATTTATGGATATTCTGTGATAAGTCTGTAAGAACATTTAACTCCTATCTAGTGAATTTTTATTTTGTGAGAAGATACTACCAGGCTAAGTAACAATGTGGGCATGTTTAAGGTGCATAGTCTTAAAACATCTGGGAGAATCAAGTGTTTGGAACTATTTTATTTCTGAGAGAAAAGGCAGAATAGATGCAATTTTGAGGGGAAAAAAGTCCTCAATGAGAAGACTAAAAAGTAACCCCTTTTTAGATTTTCCAGTCTTACTTCAAAGTATAAACCATCTGGTAAGTAAAACATGGAGAAGATTCACTTTTCTTTTTTGGGGGGTGGGGGTGCGCTCACGCCTTTTAAAAAATTGTGAAATGTATCCACCTCTTTGACCCCAGGGGTAACACCACCATTGTCCTGACTCCTGGAGTAATCATCCTCTTGTCCCCCTCCGACCCCCCCCCAAACCCCCATATACACTATGTGTGTATTTCTAAAGAGCATACTGGTTTTGCCTATTTTCTGGACTTTGTGCATATGGAATCATATCATAGTTTGCTTATTTGAGCTAACATTTTGTTTACAGGTTGTTATGCATAGCTCTGTTTGTTCATTTTCTTATTCTTTTTTGCTGAGTTTATCTGCCCAAACTGACACTGTGCCCATTAGACAGTACCTCCCATTTCACCTGAAGCCATGAGCAACCACCATTCTATTTTGTGTTCTTATGAATTTGACTAAGTACCTTGTATAAGTGGAATGATACTAGTCTTTTTGTGTCTGGCTTATTTCATTTAGCATAATGTGTTCCAGGTTCATCAGAATTTCCTTCCTTTTTAAGGCTAAATAATATTCCATTGGTGTGTATATAGTTACATTTTGTTTATTTACTACCCATCATGAACATTTGAGTTGTTTCCATTTTTTGGCTGTTGTGAACGCTGCTGCTATGAACATGGGAATACACGTATCTCTGAGTCCGTTTCAATTCTTTTAAGGATATATACCCAGACATGGAAGGACTGTATCATATGAAAACACCATGTTTAATATTTTGAGGACTGGCCGTACTGTTTTCCAGTGACTACACCATTTTGCAATCCCACCAGCAATGCACAGGGTTTGAATTTCTCCACGTTGTCTCATTTATTTTCTGCTTTTTTGTGTATGGTCAGTATCTTACTTGTGGTTTTTGATTTGCATTTCCCTAATGATTAGTGATGGTGAGCATCTCGTTTATTGGCCATTTGTATGTCTTTAGAGGAATGCCTGTTCAATTTCTTTGCTCCTTTTCTAATTAGGTTTGGTGTTGAGTTGTAGGAGTTCTTTATATAATCTGGAGTGTAATCCTTTATTAAATGTTTTATAAATATTTTCCCCATTCTTTGGGTTACCTTTATACTGTTGACAGTACCCTTTGATGTACTAAAGTAATTTTGATGAAGTCCAATTTCTCTCTTTTTTTTTTATAGCTTGTGCTTTTGTTGTGATATCCAAGAAATGACTACCAAACCTCATTTTATGCTTTCTTTCGAGAGTTTATACAGTTTTAGCTCTTAAGTTTTTCATCCATTAAAGTTAACTTTTGTAGACTGTGTTTGGCAAGAGTCCACCCTCCTTATTTTGCATATGGTTATTCTGATTTCCTAGGACCATTTTTTGAAGAAAAACTCTCCTTTCTCTATTGAACTCTCATATCAAAAATTATTTGACCATCTAGGCAAAGATTTATTTCTTGGCTCTGTATTCTATTCCATTGGTTGTTTATCATTATGCCAGTACCACATTGCTTTTATTATTGTGGCTTTGTCAGTTTTGAAATCAAGAAGTGTGAGACTTTCAACTATTTTCTTTTTCAAGATTGTTTTGGTTATTAGGGGTCACTTGAAGTCATATCAATTTTATTATAGAACTTTTTAGCTTTGCTAAAAACATCATTGGAATTGATAGGCATTGCATTGACTCTACAGATTACCACATGAAGTATTGCCGGTTTAACAGTAATGTCTTCCAATCCATGAATATAGGATGTCTTTCCATTTGTTTATGTCATCTTCCATTGCTTTCAGGGATATTTTGTAGTTTTCAGTATATAAGTGTTCACCTCCTTAGTTTATTCCTTCACTTTAGTTTACTCTGATATGACTATATATGGAATTGTTTTAATTCCTTTTTAGATTGTTCAAATCTGTGGAGAGATTTTACTTCTTTCCAATGTGGATGCCTTTTATTTATTGCCCGATTGACCTGGTTAGAACTGCCGATATTTGAATGGAAGTGGCAAAGCTGGTGTCTTGTCTTGTTTCTGATCTTGAGGAAAAACTTTCAGTTTGTGTATATAAACTGTGGCTTTTTCATACATGGCCTTTAAGTCCAAGGTTTCCTTCTATTCCTAGTTGTTGAGTGATTTTCTCAGGAAAGGGTGTTGAATTTTTTTTTTTTTAATCCTCACCCGAGGATATATTTTCTTTCTTTCTTTTTTTTTTTGTACGTGCCCCTGGCGGGAATCGAACCCGGGACTCTCTGGTCCGCAGGCCAACGCTCCAACCACTGAGCCAAACCGGCCAGGGCAAGAGGATATATTTTCATTTTTTGTTCAGATAGAGCAGGAGGGAGAGAGAGGAAGAGAGAGATAGAAACATCGATGTGAAAGGGACACATCCACTGGCTGCCACCCGCACGACCCAACCAGTGTCGGGGACAAACTGCAACCGAGGCACATGCCCTTAGCGGGAACCGAACCTGGGTCTCTTTGGACCACAGGCCAACACTCTAACCGCTGAGCCAAACTGGCCAGGGCAAGGTGTTGAATTTTGTCAAATGCTTTTTCTGCATCTATTTAGATGATCACGTGTTTCCCTTTTGTCCTGTTAATGTGCGGTGTATTGCATTAGTTTTGTATGTTAAACCATCTTTCCAAGAATATATCCCACTTCGCCAAGGCATATGATCCTTTTCATGTGCTGTATATTATTGTATTGAGGATTTTTGCATCAATATTCCTAAGGCATATTCTGTAATTTTCCTGCTGTAGTGTCTTTCTCTGGCTCAGGTGTTAGGGTAATGCTGGCCTCACAGAATGCATTAAGTGTTCCTATTCTTCAATTTTTGGAAGAGTTTGAGAAGGACTGATGTTAATTATTCTTTGAACATGTGGTAGAATTCACCACTGAAGTGATCTGGCCCTGGGCTTTTCTTTGTTGGAAGGTTTTTTCATTACTGATCTAATCTCCTCCTCGCTGTAGGTCTTGTTCACATTTTCGGTTCCTTCATGATTTAGTCTTGGTTATGTTTCTAGGAATTTGCCCTTTTCATTTAGGCTATCCAATTTGTTGATATGCAGTTGTTCATAGTACTCTCTTCTAATGCCTTCATTTCTACAAAATTGGTAGTAATGGTCCCACTTCCATTTGATTTTTTTCTTTAGTCTGCTAATGGTTTGTCAATTTTGTTCCTCTTTTTGAAGAACCAACTCATGGTTTCATCATTGATTTTTCTCTATTTTGTCTCAGCTCTAATATTTTATTACTTCCTTCTACTAATTCTAGATTTAGTGTGTTTTTGTCTCAAAAGGTTCAAAGTTGGTTGATTTGAGCTCTTTACAAATGTAAGCATTTAGTTATATATTTCCCCCAGCACTTTCAGAGCATCCCATTTTTTTCATTTATTTCAAGATAGTTGTCATTTGTCTTTTTTGCCCCATTAACTGTGTTTCCATATATTTGTGAATTTCCCAGTTTTCCTTCTGCTATTGTTTTCTAGTTTCATTGCCTTGATTGGAAGAGGTACTTTGTATGATTTCAGTCTTAAAATTCATTGACTTGTGTTTTCAGGCTAGCATATGGTTGGTCCTAGAGAGTGTTCCATGCACACTTGAGGAGAATGTTTCTACTGTTGTCGGAATGATATGTATACATATAAGTCCAGTTGATCTATATGGTTCAGATCTATTTTTTCTGTTTCCTTACTGATCCCGTCTAGCTCTTTTACCCATTATTGACA